TTCCCTAAACCCTGAACCCTAAACCCTAAACCTTTCATCTTATTCCATGTTTACATGATTGTTAGACTTGTTTTTGGCACCTTTTCCTAGCCAACACTCTTTTGCATAATGACCAATTTTCTGACAATTGTGACATCTCATGTTTCTCTTGTCAAACTTCAATTTTTCACTACTATTGGAGTTGTTGTCTTGCTTCTATGCTTGTTCATTTTTCTTTCCTTTAGAGGATTTACTAGCTTCACCAGATCCTTGATCTTGGTGTTTCTAGTTAATTTTTAACTTATTCCTTTTCTAGGGTCTTTTTCCTTTTCCCTTGTAATTACACTAGTGCAAAAATTAGTTTTAAAATCGGGGTTTTAAGATCGGTTAAGAGGTAATCGATCTTAATAGTGGCGCGGTGACAATTTTTTAAATAATGTGAACACTTTAAGATCAGTTAAATTTTAATTGATCTTAAAAATACTTTTAAGATTGGTTATTTTATGACTGATCTTAAAAGGTATGTCTGACACAACTTTTAAGATTGGTTACAAAAGAACTGATATATACTATTTTTACTTTAAAACTACATTAATTTAAAATTAATATAATTAATATTTTATGATACCATTACAAATTTTTATATGAATGTGTTATATGTTATATAATTACATAAACAATATAAAATTTCATTTTATTTTGTAACATTTGTATATGAAAATATTTCGGAGGGAAGCTTTGTAATTTCAATTTTTTATTGGGGGAATTATTAAAGAGAAGAAAAAATAAATTTTTTTAATTATTTTTTTATAGTATTTTATTTTATAATATTATAAAAATCTAATAATGATCGGTAATTTATTTTATAATAATTATTTTGATGTATTTATTTTTTTAACTATGTTCAGTAAAAGCTTATTCTAAAATATTACAAAAATATAATAATAATTAATCATTATTTATATATATATTCTTTTTTTTGTTTGTTTTGGGAAGAGTTTTTGTTTAATTAATTCTAAACATTTATATTTTTTTTTTCTAAAAAATTGTTAATTAAATAAGAATATTTTAGAAAAATATAATTAACGCAACTGACAATTTAAAAAATGGTCTTATACAAAGAAACAAACAAAAAAACTGAAGAATGTCTTATATATAAATAAAGAAAATTTCAGGTTATGAATATAATAATCAAATTTCAAAATCATAGAACATCCCATCTGTATAAATTAAAATATTTTCAAAGAAATTTTTTTTTTTTTCAAAATATTTCAATTGGTACACGAAATAAATAAGGACAATTTTAAAGTTTATTGTGTAATTTAAGTTTTAGTTAACTCCAAATTTTAATTGTCAGTTAAAAATGTGGTACACCAAAAAATATAGATAATTCACCAACTTTATGTGTAATTTATAGTGAGATCAAATTATCTTAGGAGTCAAGGGAATATTATTTTATGGTTTTCATATAAATAATACTCTTATAAGAAAGGGTATATGAGCAAGAATAACCCCTTCTATAACTCATGTTATTAGTAATTGTTTTGTTACTTTTCTTTCGTACATTTAGTATGATATACGTTAAAGGAAGAACCAGTTTGACCTATATATAATTTTTTTTTGTGTTGTCTATAGTATATAATTTAAGGAAATAAAGTGAAAATTTTCAAACTTAGAAAATCAAATTAAAACTAAAAAAAATAAGATGAGAGATCAGAAGGTATTTTAACTTAAATATACAAATTTTTAATTAAATTTATGTATAAACACTTTTAGGATAAGAAAATAAGAAGAAAAATAAAATAAAATTCTCCATAATTTAAAATTAGCATTTTTAGTTAAAAACTCATTTTTAGAGAAATTAATTAATGCCAAGAAAAACTTATAAATTAATTTTAATTTTTTTAATTTATTTTCCTATAAACAATTTATAATGAAGTTTATCGGCATATACTTATATTATATCATATAGGGAAATCACTCACCAAACCGATGGCATTACACGAGAGTACAGAAGAGAAGTAAATGAAACCAAACTATCCCCACTTTCATAGGTGACAAAGTATTTTCCAACTGGTGACACCCTTTAAAGTCTCTTAGTGTTGGCATTAGCAGTGGCACATGTTAGAAGAAAGTGACTCGCAAGCAAACAAAACATGCATTCGAGCCTATTTGGTAACTCTAAGTAGTATTGCATGTTGTTGACATCTTAGAAGCAATTTCAGAGGCTGACATGAATGTATCCTTAGCTATTATCTCAAACAGTTTGAGTTCAATAGCAGCATTCAAAACCACTGACAAAAGAAATTATCACCAATAGCAGCATTCATTGGGAAAAATTATCACCAATTAATTAATCCTCTCTATTTATGGAACTCAATTTTGTGATTTTTAGATAAATTATTTCAAAAGAAATCTCATAAATTAATTTATATATATAAATTAATTTATAAAAAAAAACTTATTTTATTTTATTTTTCTATATATAAATATCCTCAAAGATGTTTATCCATATATAATTATATATATACCTATGTTATACAAGGATGCAGATAAATCACTAACCAAACCTGAGACATAGCACGAGAGCATAGAAGAGATGTAAATGAAGCCAAAGTGCCCCCACTCTCATCTGTGACAAAGTATTTTCCAACTGATGACACTTTATAAACTCTTTCAATGTTGCCATCAGCAGTGGTACGAGTGGCACATGTTAGAAGAGAATGACTCGCAAGCAAACGAAGCATGCGTTCGAGCCTATTTGGTAACTCTGAGTAGTGTTCTATTGCCATCTTAGAAGCAATTTCAGAGGCTGACATGAATGCATCATTATTACCTATGATCTCAAACAAGTTGAGCTCAATAGCAGCATTCATGACCACTGTCAACATCTGGTTATTAGCAAGTAAAAGAGCAGAGAGATGAGCCTCTTTGTTCGATGCTTCATTGGGCACCAATTCACCCTCTCCATTGATGGAAACCATGTTATTTGCTTTGTGTGATGTGGTGTCTTTTCTTATTCCTTTCAATATTTCTTTGGTTATTCATTCCTCTAGAATTATATCATTTTTATAGCTAAAAACATGCATCTTACAATAAATGATAATTAAAATATTTATACTTAAATAATTTTTTGGTCTCTAGTATTGTACTTGTGCAATGTTAGTCTTTGAAATTTTAGTCCTTCAATAATTATATGATTTTGATTGCTCAAATTTTAATTCAACAATTTTAATTCTTTAAGTATCATAAGTGTATGATTTTAGTCCCTCTCATTAAAAATCTAATAATTTTAAATTTTTTATATAATGTTTTAAATTTGTAATTTAAATTGGTTAACAATTTTATAATTTTAAAACATTAATATATATATATATATATATATATATATTATATGTTAGGATTATAACATTAATGAGAGTCTAAAATTGCATAATTTTGGTACTTCAAAAATTATTTAATTAAAATTTGAAGAACCAAAATCACATAATTATAATATTTGAAGAACTAAAATTACTCAATTAAAATATCGAGAGACTAAAATTGCTCAACTACAATATTTAAGAGATAAAAATTCAATTAAATCAAATATTTGTTATTCAATTAATTGAGCAAATACGTGTGGGATTTCCCTTTTTTTTATTGCATGGAAAGGTATTAATTTAGATTTGTGGTAGTTGTTCTTTGAACATCTTTATCAACGATTTAAGTGTGAATATAAATGTTAGGTAGAGCCGTAGAGCACCTCGATACATGGTCCACGGTCTACCATATTCAAGTAATCTTTTAAAATATTTTATTTTTATAATGGAAGTTAATAAAATTTTAACTAAAATTTTAAAAAATGGGTAAAGAGTCATATATTGAAATTTGTCTATGATATTGAGACCATAAGTTTTAATATCAAAGAAGAGAATATTGTAATATTCGCATCTCTAAAGAAATAAGAGTGTAATTTATTCATAAATTTAAATATGATAAATAAATTTTTGAATTTTTTATTTATTTGGCTAAATTTTACCTACTTTTTGATTAAACCAAATTAATCTAAGGTGAAATCTTAGAACACTATGATAAAAACAAAAAATAACTTCAACCAACAAATTTTTGAAAAATTTTGATATTAATAAATATCTAATACATAATTGAAATTGAAATTATTTAAATAATAGATACGTAATGCATTTTTATAATTTAGCTAAGTTATATAAAACATAAATGCTTTAGGTGATTTTTTTTGTTCTTTCTTTTTATTTTTTTCTATTATACTTTTGGGTTTGATTGATGACTAAAATATAATACGATAAAATAAGGTAATTATTCTATCCTGTTATAAATTATTGCTCATAGCGTCAAATGGATATGATAGTGTTATACTATCTTTTATTTCATCTTATTGTAACATTAGTGTTTGTTAAGTTAAAAACTGATCTTGAATCTCTTAGGTTTTCGAGTTTTTAATGATAGCAAATAGAACATTTTTATAAGAGAAAATATTTTGTGCATAATACACATCAGACAAAGTATAAGACACAAAATGTTAGACAAATGATGTTTTTATCAGATGAAACATACAATCTTACCTCATAAAGTCTTAAACATGTATCATTATCTAATGAATAACAACTACTTATTGCATGAATAACTAATTCCTTAATAGATCAAACTTAGGAAGCTCATTGGAAGTCACAAATCTATTAAAGTGAATGAAGACATGCTTTACACAAGAAACAAGGACAAGCAAATCCATGAAATCACAAAAAAGTCAACAAAAGTTGATGCAAAACATACTCCTCGCTGACACACGTCACATTCAGTCCATTTGGTATCCTAAAACTGATAAGTACCCTTCTTGATCAAATAAGAAGTGACAATTTGGTGAAACATGATTAATGCAAGCATTTAACACATCAACGAATACTTCTCAACTCAAGGAACTTGTGATGAAGACAGATGAAGACAGATGAAGAAAGCTTATGAGAAACCCTCAAGGTTTTGCAATAGTTATCTTCATCCTGACAACTTTATAAGAAGTTTCATGATCAAAAAGGAAAGAACTTTTGTACAAACTATTATTCATTCAGAGTGTCGAGTTGTGTGTTCCATTGGGTGACAAGGATGGTAAACTATACCATCTAGACTTTCGGCTTGGTGTAGATGCTCCAAGTTGATGCCCTTAGTCGCTTGTTCGGTGATGGTGTGATTGAGGTTTTACTCAAAGCTCGTTGAGGGAGAAGTATATTTTGAGCACAACCTCTCCAAGTTGGACTGACATTAAGGTTTCAACCAACCTTTTTTGAGTGTTGTTGAGTATTCTTTTCTAGCCTCTCCAGGGCAGGGGAAAGTATTCTTTGCTAGCCTCTCCAGGCCAGGGATGAGTATTTTTTGCTAGCCTCTCCAGGCTAGGGGTGAGTATTCTTTGCTAGCCCTCCAGGCTAGGGGTGAGTATTCTTTGCTAGCCCCTCCAGGCTTGAGGTGAGTATTCTTTGCTAGTGTCTCCAAGCTAGGGGTGAGTATTCTTTGCTAGCCTATTCAGGCTTGAGGTGAGTATTCTTTGCTACCCTCTCCAAACTTGAGGTGAGTATTCTTTGCTAGTCTCTCCAGGCTTGAGATATGTAGATGTCAACGCCCATTGTGAAGGTGGACGTAGTAACCTTTAGCAGGATTGTGCTCTTCTGATCTTGATGTCATTCTTTGATTTGAGGAACTCGGCAGTGTCCTCCAATTGATGTTTGTAGAGTGCCCTTAGGGTTGATGTGCAAGGAATGCTTGAAATGCTCGCATTTGGGACTGAGACTAGTAGGATGTTGGTGATGCCTTGCTAGGTGAGTATTGTGATGCCTCTCCAAGCGTCTTGTATTGGGGGTGGATGGATGGTAGAAACTATGGTGTTGCCTCTACCATGTGACTATTATAATGTCTCTCCATTGATGGAACCAACTTCTCCATGATGGCTAGTGGTTGATTCCTTCTCTTCTCCAGGGTTGAGATGACATGAAGGGTGATCTCTTCAAGGGTATGGAAGTGGTGGAAATGGTGTTTAGGTAGGGGAAGGTTGATGCACAAAATGGAGGGGAGGAAGGGAAGGTGTTTGGTGGTGTAGCTCCTTTAAGCTGACTCACTTCAATTAGGATGATGACGGCCAACCAAGGAAGACCCAAGCTCACTCAAGGAAGAAGGGAGAGGATAGGGGGCCATGGAGTTCCTAGGGGACTAAGGAAGGAATAAATAGACACAAGGCTCACTCAATATCATTAATTTCTAAAGTGGCTACAAGGTAGGTGACCTAGAGTATTTATAGAGAGAGAAAAGACATCTAGGGTTTCTTGGGAGCATTTGGCCAAAATTTTGAGGTCCAAATACACCCTAAATGAACCCTAAATGCAACCCAAATGAAATGGCTCTCATCTCTCCTAAAAGACTAAAGTGCCCTTAGGTCTAGAAAAAGAAAGAAATGGACTTTGACCTTCTAAATTAAGGTTTAAGTCCTAAAATAAATCCTAAGACTAATTTTGCCCCATAATACAAAGGCTAAATAGAAATACAAATAAAATCTTAATATCTAATGTACCCCAAAATACAAGGGAAAAATTGGAAAAGAAAGCAACAAACTAAGGAGAGGGCTCAAAATCTTCACACATGATGATCATGGCTCTTGGTGTGGTGCGTTCTTCATATTCCTCTACTCTCCTAGCCATTGACCTTGTGATAGGCCCTATATGATGCTTCAAGGATGGTCCTCCATCATCCATGTAACTCCATTAGGGGATGAAATGTAGGGGTGAGCAATGAGTGGGTTTGGTCGGATTCGGGTGAAAAATGTCCAACCCATTGTAAACCGACTTTGAAAAAATGTGACCCATATCCGACCGACTGAGCTTTCGATTTGAGGCGGTTCGGGTTGAAACGGATTCGGATTTAAGCGGGTGGGTATAATCGGGTTTGAATTTTTTTGTAAACCAATTTATCTTAAGGAAGATGAAGCTTAAAACGATAAAAAATATTTTTAAAATAGTGTATAAAAATAGAATGAAGGTGACAATAGATGGTGTAAGTAGATTCGTAGTTGAAACATTTACAAACTAAAGAAGCAAAAATAAAAGATAACAAAATTCATAGTTGTTACATGGAAAAGAAATATAAAGTTAGATTACAAAATCATAAGAAATCACAGTCACACAAAATGTACTCAAAATGGAGATAAGAAGATGGAAAAGAAAGACAAAGAAAGAAGCAAAAAGATAACTCTAAAAATGGACTAGTGTGTTGAGAAGTTGAATGAGGAAGGAGAAGACAAAATAAATATCTAAGTTATGAGAAAAGGGAAAAAAATAAGTTACAAATTGATGACTATATTATACTTGAAATAAAGACTTTTAAGTTTGGACCATTGTTGTTTAGTTATACAAAAGTAATAAAAATTTAAACTTATCTCATTTTCGGTTGGGTTCGGTTTTTGGCGGGTTTAAAAATTCAAAACCGAACCCGCCCAATATAACCCGTATAAAATCAAAATTTTAACCCGATTTACCCATAAGACCCGCCCGAACCCACCCAAAAATAATATTTTTTATCGGGTTTTTCGGGTTCGGTTCGGGTGTCGGTTTAATGCTCACCCCTAATGAAATGTGTGGCAGGGATTCAACTGTTGTTCCTGCCATGTAAGTATTGTGATGCCTCTCCAGGCATTTGTATTGGGGATGTATGATAAGAGTTCTGTATTATTCTTGCCATGTGAGTATTATGATCGATTCCTCTCCAGGCGTCTTCTAGGGATATTGAGTATTGTTGTGTTAGCCTCTCTAGGCTGTCTATTTTGATGACGAGTATTGTTATGCCGACCTCTCTAGGCTGCCTATTGTGATGTTAAGTATTATTGTGTCGGCCTCTCTAGGTCACCTGCTATGATGTTGAGTATTATTGTGTCGGCCTCTCTAGGCTACCTGCTTTGGTGATTGTGAGTATTTTTGTGTCGGCCTCTCCAGGCCACCTGCTTTGATGGTGAAGATATTGTTGTGTCGGCCTCT